ATCCACCTACCACCACCCCACCTACCTTTCCCCAGCCCCACCCATCGTCCTCGCCTCCTTGATCTGACACAACCTGTCCATCTTAGAGTCATAGAACTGTACAGCACGGAAACAGACCCTTTGTTCCAACTTGCCCATACCAATCAGATATATTAAATTAATCTAGGCCCATTTGGCCCATATCCCTCTGACCCTTCCTATTTATGTACCCATCCAGATGCCTTTTAAATGTCATTGTAGCAGACTCCACTGCTTTTTCTGGCAGTTCGCTCCATACATGCGCCACCTTCTGCGTGAAAAAGTTGCCTCTTAGGTCTTTTTTAAATCTTTCCCCTCTCACTTTAAACCTATGCCCTCCAATCTTCTCTCCCGCCGTTCCCACTGACCAATCTCCACCGTCTCCACCACCCCCTACCTGCATCCACCTATTACCATCCCACCAACCTTCCTCCAGCCCCAACCCTCCCCCATTTATTTACTTATGAGCTCCCCTTCCCCTCCCCAGTTCTGAACAGGGGTTGTACTGATATTTGAGTACTATTGAGTAGGGACCCAAAGTATTTTGGTAGTTACAAGGGTGTGTCTGCAGTAAGTTCAGTCCTGGTTTGTGTTGTAAGACATTATTTTGCTTATGATCTTTTAGAAAAGCCTTGGATTGTGCTCGGACCACTTTGAATAGGTGGAATATGCAAATTCCCAGATTGTATCTATTGGAATGTTTTTATGATGGCTCATACAGGTTTGCATCCTGCAAGATCAAGACTACTCTGTACAGTGCATTCTGACATTCTAGTTTGTGCTCTTTTTTAAAATTTTTGGTTGCTTTTTGTTATTCTTTCAGCACAAAAACAAACATAGACATTTCCAAAAGGTCTGAGGTTAAATTTCTTGTGTGTCAACAGTGGCAAGATTTCTGACAGATTACAAAGAGAAGAATGTTGGCTAAAAGATAACATCAGATAAGCCTGACTAATAATGAAGAATAGTTGGTTTCTGATTTATCCTGGGATCCCACCCTGGCTGAAAAATGTTCACTTACTTGTTTAAAATCTGATGCAATTTTTGCTCTCGTGTCTTGTCAGCACCGTCGAAATGGATTAATTGACTTGTTTAAAATCTCCAAACTGGCTGAAAGAAAACTGCAAGTTTAGGGAATGGAATGAGTAAGGAGTATAATGATTTAGACCAGGAGCAAACGTAGGAAGTTCAGCCCCTCGGCTCTGGTCCGTCATTAAATGGGACCATGGGGCGGGTCTTCTCATCCTCAACTCCACTTTCCTGCTTTTTCCCTCTAACCTGTGATTCCCTTACTAATATCTGACTGACTATCTCAGCCTTGAATATACATAAAACTCAGTCTTGCCAGCCCTCTATGATTTAATAGGTTCACTAACCCCTTTTTCCTCTTTAGATAGGCACCCCTTTATTGTGTGGTTATACCCTCAGGTCCTAGGTTTTCCCATAAGGGGAAACAACCTCTCCATATCCATCCTGTTAAGCCTTTTAAGAATCTCATGTTTCATTAAGGTCTCCTCTCATTCTCCCAGACTCCAATGAGTATAGGCTCGGCCTACAATCCCTGAGGTGTCAGAGTTTGAGGGGTGACCTTTATAGAGGTTTACAAAATCATGAGGGGCTTGTATGGGATGAATAGCCAAGGTCTTTTTCCCCAGAGTAGAGGAGTCCAAAAGTAGAGGACATAGGTTTAACGTGAGAGGGAAAGATATAAAAGGAGACATACAGTAAACTCAGGCTATACTAATTGGAATTTAGAAGAATGGGGGGAGGTGGTGGAATCTTATAGAAACATAAAATTATGCAGGAAATAGATGAGATAAAAACAGGGAGTTTGTGTCTGCTGGAGGGTGATATTAGAACTAGGGGGCCTAGCCTCAAAATAAGGGGGAGCAGATTTGGGATTGAGTTTAGGAGCAGCTCCTTCAACTAAAAGGTTGTGAATCTGTGGAACACTCTGTCCCATGAAGCAGTTGAGGCTAGCTCCTTGAATGCTTTTAAGGCAAAGATAGATTGTTGAATAGTAAAGGAATTAAGGGTTATGGGGAGCAGGTGGGTAAGTGGAGATGAGTCCATGAAAAAATTGGCCACGATATTATTGAATGGTGCAGCAAGCTCGATGGGCCAGATGGCCTACTCCTGCTCCTACTTCTCGTGTAGTAGAAATCCAATTGTCTCAGCTTCTCATCATGGGGCAACCTCATCCCAGGGGCCAATCACGTTGACCTTCACTGCACCACCATCTGAGCTCATCCTTCATTGAGTATAGAGACCAGAAGTGGATATAGTGGTCTATGTTTGGTCTCACTGAAGACCGGTGTAATTTCAGCAAAACTTCTTTGTGCGCACTCCAATCCTCGATGAAAATGTCCATTTTTCTCTGATGTTTTACTGACCCTGCATGCTTACTTTGTTCCTTCTGCAAATGTACCCAAACCCATCTGAATGTCAATGTTTACAAGTTTCAAGCAAGGAATCTTTCACAACTCAGTGGGAGTGACCTTGCCTTGAGTACTACACCAGAACAACAGCAAAGAACAGTACGGTGCAAGAACAGGTCCTTCATCCTACCACGACTGCACTGACACATGATGCCTTTCTAAAATAAAAACCTTCTACCCATATGTGGTTCATATTCCTCTATTCTTGCTTATTCATGTATCATCAAGATACCTCTTAAATGTTACTATTGCCTCTGAAAGTATGTTCCAGGCACTTGCCATTGTGTGAAAAAACATGCCTCTCTCATCTCCCTTTAAACTTACCCCCCTTTTACCTTAAACCTATGTCTCCTAGTAATTTACGTTTCTATTCTGGGAATAGATCTATCCATGACTATCCGTTCTATCTCCATGCCGCACACAGTTTTGTAAACTTCTTTCAGGTCACCCCAATCTTTCGATGTTCAAGTAAAACCAAACTAAAGTTTGTCCAATCTCTCCTCATAAGTAATACCCTCCAAACCAAGCAACACTCCTGTTTCCCATCCAAGGCCTCCAAATCCTTCTGTTGGTGTGGTGACCAGAACTGTATACAATATTACAAATATGACCTAACTAAAGTTCAATACAGTTGCAAAATAACCTGCCAATTTTTATACTCTATGCCCTAACCAATGAAGGCAAGAATGCTGTATGCCTTCTTATTTGCCTTATCCACCTTATCCACTTCTGTTGCCACTTTCAGGGAACTGGGGACCTGTACGCCAAGATCCCTTTGTATGTTGATGCTGTTAATGGCTTTGCTATTTACTGCATACTTTCCTCCTGCATCAGCTCTTCCTAAATGTATCGCCTTGCAATTGTTTGGATTAAACTCTGTATGCAGCTTCCCTAATCTTTGTGTCATCTGCAAACTTACTAATCAAGCCACCTATGTTCTCCTCTAAATTGTTTTGTATATATATTACAAAGGGGTCCCAGCACAGTTCCCTGCTAAAACCACTGGTCATAGATCTCTGGTCAGAAAAACACCCTTCTGCCGCTACTCTGTTTTTCTGTGATTAAGCCAGCTCTGTATCCATCTTACCAGCTCACTGCAGATTCCATGGAGTTTGAGCATAAAGCCAAGGTTGCCTCTCCAGTACTGAGGACCTGTGATTCCTCATCTGTCAGTTGAGGCATGAAACACAACATTATTATTTAAAGAGCAGCTAAAGTTCTCCCTGGTATCTTAGCCACTCTTTATTCCTCGGGCTATGACACTAAAGCATCATCTAATCGTTATTGTATTTGCTATTTATAGAACTCGTACAAATTGGCAGCAGAATTTCCTTTATTAAAATAGTAACTACATTTCAAAAATACTTAACTGGGTCCTAGATTTGTGAAGGGGAAACAGTGGTCTAATGATCCACTGAACCAGTAATCCAGAACGTAGTGTGGCAGTGGATTAAATCCAGACCATGGGTTCTAAGCCTGCTGCAGCTGGTGAAACTTAAACTTGAATTAATTCATAGTAGTATTTTATTTTGCACGTTCTCCCCGTGTCTGCATGGGTTTCCTCCAGGTGCTCCGGTTTCCTCAGACAGTCCAAAAATGAGCAGGTTAGGTGGATTCGTGATGCTAACTGGTCTGTAGTGACTAGGGATGTGTAGGCTAGGTGGTTTAACCATGAGAAATGTGAGGTTACAGGGATAGGGTGGGAATGGAAGGGTGGTGGGTCTGGGTATGATGCTCCTAGGAGGGTTGGTGCGGACCCGATGGGTTGAATGGCCTGCTTCCACGCTGTAGGGGTTTTATAAAAAGATGTAGCAAGATAATCAGTTGTCAAACTGCTCTAAAAATCATTGCCAGTGTATTAGTACTACATGGAGTGTTGTGGTTCAAGAAGTGATGGTGAAGCACCACTTTCTATGTTCTTGAGGGTAAATAGGGATGAACAATAAATGCTACCCTCACATCCCAAGAGTGAACAATAAAACTTTTCCCTGAATCTTCTCTGCTAGACACCCTGTTTGTCTACTCTCACCATTTTTATAGTCATAAATAATAATATTTAATTTACAGTTTTGCTCTCATTTTTGTCAGTCTGAATCTGACCCAACAAATGTGAGTACATTTAAGAAAAATTAAACTGTAGCAACTACAATTCCTTTGTAAATAATCAAGCCACATGCCATGGTCTGTACACAATCTCAAACATGCAAAGAAAACAGCATGGCCTCACTCGGTGCTTACTTAACAGCACAACGATCTGATCAACTTAAGGTGAACTGGGTTTGGGAGTAGGCTAATATGGTCTGTATTACCTTGCGCAATGTGCTAAGGACTGGGGAAGTAAAGGAGGAGCAAGATCAATAGTTTCATCTGCTTTATTGCTTATAATGTTATTGGAGATCCACATCTGGTTGCCACTATTGTAAAGTTATTTCTTAACAAAGTGTAGAGGCTCAACTGTATGTCACTGACTCAAACCTTGTGCAATTCAGTTCAATCCTAAAGTATTGTCCTTCATTGGAATCAGATTGTGCCAAAGGCTATGACATGATGGAGCATACCAGCACCAAAAACAAAAACATTGCCAGTGACACCAAAGAGAGTATTGGGGATGCCAAAGTAAACGACGATGCCAAAGAGAATGGCAAAGGAAATGCCAGTGATGGCAAACTGACCAATGACACCAAAGATAATCCCGGTGATGCCATGGAGAGTACTGACGGAACTCCCAGTGATGCCAAGGAGAACAATGATTCTCATGGGAATGCTTGTGAAGCCAAAGAAAAGAGCAGCAAAAGATATAAAAAGGTAAAGAGTGTTCTGTTTTGATTCCAGTTGCCTGTGCTGTCTTTCCCCTCACAAACACGAAAGGCCAAGTGAGCAACCAATCCTGTCTCCAGGGAGCTGCACTCTCATCCTCTGCTTGAGTGCCCATTTTTCACTGTGACTTGTGAATGTCAGCAGATTATTCAGATATGATCATCTGAGCCCAGACAGATCTTCATCCACCATCCTCATGTTCAGTGAGGTGCTAGGGAAACAAACCGATAGACATTTGCAGCACAGAAATAGGCCATTCAACCCATCATGTCTGCACGATTCCCCAACGAACTGATTATGCTAATTCTATTTTTGAAGGCCCATAAATGCTGCCTAAATGTGTACTTGGGTTTCTGACTGTACCACCCTTTCAGACAGTGAGTCCAGACTCTCATCACCCTCTAGATGAAAAAAAATTTTCAGCTCTTAACCTTCTACCTCTTACCTGAACCCCCTGGTTATTAGCATCTCTACTTATAGAAAAGTTGCCTTCCTGTCCATGCTATCTATGCCCCCATAATCATATACACCACTATCAGATTCCCTCTCTATCTTTGCCACAGTCTATCTAATCTTATTTCAGACCCTCCAGCCCAAGCAGCATCCTCATAAATTTTCTCTGCACCCTCTCCAGTGCAATCACATCCTCTAACCACCGTTCTCTAAATTCCAGCATAAACTCCCAGCTCTTGTATTCTGTGCCTTGCCTAATAAAGGCAAGTATCTCATTTAAAAACCAAAAGAACTGCGGATGCTGTAAATCAAGAAAAAAAGCAAAGGTGCTGGAAAAGCTCAGCAGGTCTGGCAGCATCTGTGAAGAAAAATATCAAAGTTAACGTTTCGGGTCCGGTCACTCTTCCTCAGAATACCGGACCCGAAACATTAACTTTTTTCCTTCACAGATGCTGCCAGACCTGCTGAGCTTTTCCAGCACCTTCTGTTTTTGTTCCAAGTATCCGATATCTTTAACTACCTTATTTACCTGCACTGGTACCATAGGAATCTGTGGATATGTACAGCAAGGTCCTCTGACCTTCAGTACTTTCCAGGATTCTACCATTCACTGTGTAGTCCCTTGGCTTGTTAGCATTATCTCACACTTTTCTGGGTGAAATTCCATTTGCCACTGCCCTGTCACCTGATATTCCCCTGTGCTACCCTATCAATTTTTGTGTCATCCATGAACTTCTTGATCAAAGTGCTATGCGTAAGTCCAAATCATTAATGTACAGCGCAAACAGCAAGGGCAAGTTCTGTGGAACCCCACTGGAAACAGACTTCTGATCACAAACTACAATTACTCATGTTCTTTATTCTACCCACCAATGCTTTTATCAAGCATTCTCATAGCTTTTCTAGTTTCCTTTGAGCCCTCCGTATCTGCCATAAGCTTCTCTTTATTTTCCTTAATTCTAACACTTATGTACTTTGACAGCCAGGCTTCTCCAGCCTTAATCCCACACTGTCTTTATGGAAATGTATTTGCCATCTACTCTCACTGTTTCCTCTTTGAATATCTCCCTCTTCTCTGACCTAGTTTTATATGAAAGCAGCAGCTCCCAAACCACTTAGGCTAAATTTTATCTCCTCTCGGTAAATGTAGCCTTTCCCTGAGGTTAGAACTTTTATTCCTGGCCTCAGTAATCATAACTATCCTAAATCTAACTAAGTTATGACTAATTTCTCCAAAATGCTTCCTTGCCATCCACATGCCTGGGCTTTTTTCCAAATATTAGGTCCAGCGCTGCCCCTCCTTTGTTGGGCTTTCTATGTACAGGCTAAAAACGTTCTCCTGGAAGCAATTTAAGATGTTGTTGCCTCCTTCCCTCCCTATCTTGCCCACTAAAACGATCCCATTTAATATTTAGGCAGTTAAACTCCCTGCCTAATTATTGTTGCACTTCTCTGAAATTTGATGGCATATTTACTCGCTCTCTCACTCTCTCCCTCCCTACCTGTTTATTTGGAAGCCTAGAGTGCAGATCCAACAGCATGTTTGCCCACTTTGTGTTCTTCTACCCATGTGGTCTCATCTGACAATCCTTCCAAAATATCATCCTGCTTCGCTGTTGATTCCTTCATCAATATTCTGAATATATTCAGAAATTTCCCCATTTCACCAGGAATGTTGAGCAGCCAATCCTACCACCTTTTCAGCCAAGTCTCAGTCATAGCTATGGTATCATACTCTTACAGGTCTATCTGTGCCTTTCAGCTCATATCTGTTTTATTCATGGGTTGCATTAAAGTATTGCATTGCTAAACTCACTTCTTTCCTACATTTCCTCTACCTTTCAGACTTGCTAATATTTTAACTTCTAATTCCATCACAGCTTCTTTCCCCTCTGAACTACTTGTCACAATTCCATTCCCAGCTAATGTAAATTTAAATCCACCCCAACAGCATTAGCAAGCCTCCCTAGACTGATGTTGGTCAGATTTAGGATGTCCAATTTGTAAAGGTCCCACCTCAGCCAGAAATGGGCCCAGTGCCTCAGAAATCTAAAGCCCTGCGCACATGCATCAACTCTGACCTTCTATTGTTGCCTCGTGTTTTTGAGTTTGAAAATTGGCTCCTATTTGTTTCTATGAGTTACTTTGTAGCGCACACTATTTCATTTTCATTGTGCAGCTCCCTTACCAGCAACGGCACCGGTTCTCATACCTTGAGACTTGATACCTTACATGCTGGAGACCCAATAAAAGGGAAGAAGTAAACCACAGGAGAAAGGACGTGTTGAAATCTGAAGGAGGTGATTCTGAATGCTTCCAGTGAATGTAGCTGACGTTATTCACAAACCATGTTCCTTTGTGCAGGGGAATGTAGTGTTACTTTTTTGTAGTGGATGGGAAACTGTTTGAACTCTCATATATGACCATACTCTCTCATTTTCTGAAACAGTCTTTTATTAGCTTCAGTTCCCCAATTCCACTTTGCAAAGATCATTCATTTCTGGAACTTAAGAGACAGTTAAATAATCCACTTTTCTTGTGAAGTGGCTGACATTCACAGAGCTTATGCCTTCTACAGAATCAATGTCGATCTGAACAACGGAGTAAAGATTCAGACAGACAAGAGGATGCTTTCCAGCTAATACATCAGATGCTGTGATTTGCAATGTACCTTCCTGCTAATTGACCTGCAGTCTTGCCTCATTCTGCATTTCTTAACTAAATCAACTCCTTTGCTGTAAACAGAAGAGTGTAATTGTTTTAATCAACCTGCTCAGTTATACTATAACACACCTCTGGGGCCAGTGGGATTTGAACCTGAACTTTCTGCCTCAGAAGTAGTGACCAAAACCGAAAGCTCTAACTGAAACTTTTTGAATTTTCTTCATTGGGCGCAAGGAGAATATTCTCTATTCGATCTCATGTTGCCTTGGGGATTGTTTGTTCATTCCCGTTCCATATTCTCCTCTTCCTGAAATTGCAGACTATAAATTGGGACTTTAGTTCCATGTGGTTCTGATCTGTGTCCAGATCTTGAATATTTGCTGGCTCTTTGACGGTGGGAGGCAGCACTGCTAACTCTGAGATATCTCCACACATTTAACCAAAATGGTTAGAAACTGAAACCCTGATTGAATAACTCCCACTCCTGTTGTAATCGGAGGCCCTGAGATAACTGTAACATCCACAGTATCAGTATGGCTGAGCTACAGTAAAGATCATAAAGCTGGTGGCAAACCTCATTCTTTGAAACCAGTGTTAAGACAATGGGAGCTCATTGCCACCAGAGTAAAGTGCCCTCTCTCACCCAACAATAGTGCAAAAGCTATAAATGTGAGCCATAGATGATTGATTGATTGTCGACCAACATCCCCAACCTGCTGGGAAAGGGAAGCAGTAACTGCAGCTCATGACGTTAAAGTGAGGAATATCCTGCACGGTGCTACTAACAGGGTGATAGTCAAATTAGAGGGAGTGGCTTGTCAGTCACGTGTTATGTGGAGGAAAATTTTTTAAAAATGGTCTTTTGAAAACAGCTGTGGCAGGTCGTCACATTAACCTGGTCCTGATTTTCTTCAACAACAGGGAGGAGATGGCCAGCTTCCCAGCTCCAGCTCCAGTAGCAGCTCTTCAGATAGTGAAGATGAAGGAAAGGCAAGTGTTGAATAATCCCTATCCTTTTTATTATCAGTTTCTGGATGTCGTATATCTGACAAACCCAGGCACTTAACTGTCAAACCAAAGTTGACACTCCAGTGGAGGAGTGCTGCATTGTTGGACGTACCATCTTTGAGGTGGGACATTGAACTGAAACATCTTTGGCCCCCTTGGGTCAATATGAATGATCCCATGGTACCATGTTACAAAGATTAGGCAGTTATCCCATGGCCAGTATTTATACCTGAACCAGCATTGATCAATGAGCTTTACCTTGTCCATTGTTAAATAGTTGTTTGTGGGACCTTGTAGTGGTCAAATTAAAGGGATATATTGAAGAAATTGGGACTGCCTCCCTTGGAGGGAAGAAGACTGAGAGGAGATCTTATCGAAGTTTTCAAATCATAAGCGGTCTGGATGGAGTAGAAAGGGTGAAGCTGTTTCTATTTGTAAAAGAAACCAGAATGAGAGAGCATAGATTTATAAAGTGATGTGCAATTGAAGCAGGGGTAATGTGAAAAACATTTTCACACATAGAGTAGTTAGGGTATGGAATGCAATGCCTGGAAATGTGGTGGAGGCAGGTTCAATTGAGGCATTCAAGAGGGCATTGGATGGTTTTTGGACTGTAATGGTGTGCAGGAGATTGACACTATATGATAGAGCTGATGCATATGTGATGGGCTAAATGGCCTCCTTCCTTCTGCACCATACAAATTCTGTGAATTTGTGCAATTTAGCTGCAATATGCTCAGTACCTTCATTCGGCTCATTAATATAAATTGTAAGTTGTTGATGCCATTTTGTACTCATTTAGACAGTGTTCAATTTTTCGTTGTGCTGCCCTGCTGCATTTTGAGTTTTTTGTAGTTGGATCCCTAAATCTTCCTGCCCTCCGTCTTTTCCAATCCTTTCCTAGTGAGGAATCACAGATAAACAGTTGATCAAGCCGACAAAAAAAAAGTTAAGATGTCTGATATTTCTTCTTAACTGTGAAATAGTTTGTGTTTGCATAGTTCAGGTTAGTACATACTTTGATATTATCATTGTAGTATCAATATTCAATTTAATTTCATTGCATCTGGCCAGAACCTACAGCACCAGTTAAACTGGTGCTATTATCACTGGACTCTTGATCCAGAAACCCAGGTAATGTTCTGGGGACCGAATCCTCCCACCACAAAAATATCTGGAATTAAGAGTCTAATGATTTCATTGTCGATTGTCAGGAAAAACTCATCTGGATCATTGATGTCTTTTAGGTAAGGAAACCACCATCCTTACCTAGTCTGGCCTACATGTGACTCCAGACCCACAGCAATGTGGTTGACTCATAACTGCCGTATTGGACCATCTCAAATTGCCAATCAGTGACGTTGTCATTCCCATGAATGAATTAAAAAAAACCACCCCTGAAGTTACAAGAAACAAACAATCTGGAGTTTTAAAGTCTCCATAGACTTCCTAAAACAAAACCAAATGCTGGCCTTCATATGAAAGGAAAATGATCCCAGATTTTGTTTCTTTCCACTGACTCTGAAATAAACTGCTGTACTAAAGGATAAAGTAACTCCACTCTGTTCAGCAATAAACCAGGACCAGGAGCCACATGATGGATGTGTTTGCAATGTGCCTGATGGAGTGCACACACTTCTGTTCTCTTCATTTAATTAGTGACAGGTTTTCATTTTGCTTTATTTAATCAACAGCTTGGAAGTGGAGAGAAAAAGAAAAAAGTGAAGCAAGTTAAGGCGACCGAGGGAGACAGCAACAAAGGGCAGTGCAAACATTAACAGGAACGAAGAACCTGGATGAAATGTTTAAAGAAGACTTTACTATTCTCTCTTGGCATCTTTATATTTTAGATTAATCTTTGTCTGTTTGGTTTGATGTCCTCTACTTCTGTTCATTGTACTTGACCAGCCTGAGGAGAACTATGCAGAATGTAAACTGATCATTAAGCGACTTCTCAATGAGTAACTTTCATATCTGTTCATTCTAGAAGTATGAAAAGATGAATTAGGGGCTCAGAATAGGCCATTCAGCCCTTCGAGTTCATTGTGCTGTTTGATAAGATCATGGGTGATAGTGGCCTCAAATCCATTTCTCTGCCTATCCCTGATACCAATTCACTCCCTCCATTAGTCAAGAACTTCTACCTCTGGGTTCAAAACAATAAATGACACTGTCTCCACCACTCTCTGGGGAAGAGATTTCCACATTCTCTCTATCCACGGAAAGAAAGGTTCTCCTCAATTGTCCTTTAAAAGGAAGACCTTTTATTGTTTAAACTGTGTCTCCTTTTTATAGCCTTTCTGACAAGGGAAGTATTTTCACTCTATTCTGTAATTTAATTTATTGGCCTGCAGCTGCCTGGGCCCTAAACACAGGAATTCTCTCCCCACACCTCTCTCTTTTTCTCCCTTAAAACGCTTCCTAAAACCTACCTCCTTGAACAGGTTTTTAGTCACCTGTCCTAATGTCCTTATGTGCAGAATTGGTTTGTCTGAGAGCACCCCTGTGAAGAAAAATGACAGTTTTGTCATTGTATCCAAAGATACATTTATGTTGTAAGTTGCCAATGTAAATCTTGAGACAGAATGCTGTTGTATTAAAGATGCATTGAATCAGATTTGGCATCAGTTCACTCTTCAGTCACATACTACGTTTAGTTTGTGAAATATGTGATCAAACTGTGACTATTCCTAATGAAATACCAATCTGTAGCATCATCAACAGCATCAAAATTTCATCTGATTTTAAATAATAGGCATTTTTCTGATGTCAACTGTCTTTTAAATGGAAAGTTCTTCTGTCACAATGGTTTATGATCCTAGCTGATGTTACTATTGGACAAATCTGATCCCAGGTTGAAATCCAGCTTGATAAGTGACTTTTTTCCATTCAGCATGGTAGATTTTCACTGAAACATAAGCACAATGTATTTGGTTTTAACAAGAAAAGGAGTTTATTGCACAAAGGAAATGAAAGATAACAGCAAAAAGCAAGCTGTTTACAGATAACACATCTGAAAGATTTCAAAACATATGGCACAACAAATTACCATCTATGATAACACCATCACTTTGTAGCTCGAATACCAAAGAGAGTTCCCTTTTCTATCGCATCTATAGTTTTGATTTAATTGTTTCTTTCAACTCCTAATTTTGACAGCTTGATAACCTTTTCCTTGAATCATTTGCACAACTTAGTTTAAACCTTCTTGACTTCAAATAGCCCCTTAAGGCTTCTAACCAAAAACTCAGTCTGGAACTTTCAAATTGAAGCCCTTACATCAGGAACCCTATTTTCTAACTGTTCTGAACTACTTCCTTTTACTAGGAGAAACTGTTATTATATCTGACCCCAGCCTAGACTTCTGCAAACTGAAACAAACACTTTCCAATCTGTGGGATTTTCTGAAGCAAGAATCACTTTTTGATTCTTCTAAACCAGAAGGAAACTAATTTGTTTGCTCTCTCTCATGGTAAAATTCTTATAATATAAAATGATTCACATTATCAATCTGGGAGGCTCCCTGTCACCTGATCTCTGACTTACTGGTTTAAAATCATGGCTCCAAAACAAAACTGATAACTTTGGATTATCTTAATTATTAACTTAATAATTAACTTCCTTCATATGCAGACCAAAACCCACGTACCACTAGTTCAAAATCCAAACTCTAATAAAAGATATGATATTTATATACATATAATTCACACACCTTACATTACAACAAATTTCATTGAGGTTCAAAATGTAAACAGGAAGAAGAAACCCAAAGATTAGACTGACAGAGAGAGAGAGAGAAAAGACATTTGGAATATTGTGTTTGGCTTCAGCCATACCATTTTTGGAAGGATGACCTTGGAGAATATTTGCCTGTCATCACAGTGATACCTGAGAAGAAAGGGTTGAGCTGTGAAGAAAGACAAGGAGGCCTCAAGCCCCTGGCCCTGGTCACAAGAATTCTAAAATAGCGTGATAGATTGTCTGTCACAGAAGGAGGCCATTTGATCTTTTGAACTTCTGTCAGCTCTTTGGAAAAAGTGTCCAATTGGTCTCTAGCTTGGCATTTCTTCCATTCGTATGTTTATCTGATTCTCTTTTGAAAGTTACAATTGAATCGACTTCTGTCATCTGTTCAACCAGTGCATTCCAGATCCCCCACAACCTTCTTGTTAAAGAAGAACAAATTCTCAGTGCACCTTCAGGATTTACCAAGATTTTAATTTTAAAAAGGGAAAAGATATAAAAGGGACCTAAGGGACAACTAAAGGACACGCTTGTATGGAATGGGCTGCCAGAGGAAGTGGTGGAAGCAGGTACAATTACAGCATTTAAATGGCATCTGGATGGGTACATGAATAAGAAGGGTTTAAAGGGATACGGGCCAAATGCTGGCAAATGGGACTAAATTAATTTAGGATATCTGGTCAGCATGGACGAGTTGGACCAAAGGCTCTGTTTCCATGCTGTACAGCTCTATGGCTCTGACTCAAACAGAGTGAGTTTTATCATCTGAATACAAATTCATTTGAGTGGAGGGGAGGGTGCAGAATTGTACACAATACTCCAGCGGGGGCCTAACCAGAGACTGATCAAAGCTTCAGTTTGACTTCCTTGTCTTCATATTCAATGCACCTGTTTGCAAAACTAGGTTAACCTAACCTCATTGCTTTTTTTTGGAGAGATGCATAATCTGTGTGACCCTTGTAACATTCATAATTGGAAGGCAATGTAAAACATAGGGTGAAAGTTTAAAGGAAGGACAGAGGTCCCCAAATGCCAGCCTTCAGCCAATTTGATTCACTCCACGTGCAAAGGTCAGGCTAGACCCTGATAACATTCTGCAACACACCCAAAGACTGATATTCCAGAAGTTGCCAAACCCCTAGCCAAACTGTTCCAGTACAGCTACAACAATGGCAACGTGGAAAATTGCCCACTACGTCCTGTACACAAAAAGCAGGACAAATCCAACCTGGCCAATTACAACCACATCAGTCTACTCTCAATCATCATTAAAGTGATGGAAGGTGGCATTAAAAGTGTCCCAGAATTGGCAACCCCAACATTTCAGCTCACAACCACACCTGGGAGGTCCTTTATTTTAGGCCGTGCCACAAGATCCTGGGATTTATCAATCAAAGCTTAAAGTACAAAAGGAAGGAAGTTCTAGCAATCTCGCTAAATGCTAAATTGGTCGGCCCTTGCACCTTAGGAAGGATGTGAGGCCTTTAGAGGTTGCAGTAAAGATTGATGGCAATGGTTCCAGGGGTCACAGATCTCAGTTACTGGAATAGGTAAAGAAGCTGGGATTGTTCTCTTTAGAGAAGGAAAAGCTGAAGGGGCAGGCATGTGTGATTGAGGTGCTTGAAATCACAACAGACTGTGGACAGAATAGATGCGGAGAAACTGTTTCCATTGGCAGAGCGTGGAGAACAAGGGACTCCAGATCACTGGTCTAAAGTGATTGGCTAAAGTACTAAGGACAACGTGAGAAAAGTATTAAAAACTGAAAGAACTGTGGATGCTGTAAATTAGGAACAAAAACAGGAGTTTCTGGTAAAGCTCAGCAGGCCTGGCAGCATCTGTGAAGAAAAATCAGAGTTGACGTTTCGGGTCTGGTTCCTCAGAAGGGTCATGGGACCTGAAATGTTAACTCTGATTTTTTCTTCACAGATGCTGCCAGACCTGCTGAGCTTTACCAGCAACTCAGCTTTTTGTTCATGAGAAAAGTATTGCATTTTTTGCATTGCGTGTGGTTAGGATTGAGATTGCACTGAATGTGGTGCAGCTTGATTCAGTTGTGGCTTTCAAATAATATTTGGATAATTACAGAATCAGAGTCAGAATCACAGAATTGTTATGGTGCAGAAGGAGGCCATTCAGCCCATTATGCCTGTACTGGCTCTGTTATCTAATGCCAATCTGCCAGCTTTTCCCATATCCTTACACACCATTACTATTAAAAAAAATCCAATACCCTCGAATGCCTCAATGGAATCTGCCTCTACCACATTTCCAGGCAATGTATTCCATACCCTAACCACTTGCTGTGTAAAAAAGTCTTTTTTTCCACACGCATCATTCTTGCTTTGTTTGCATGTACCTTTAAATCTATACCCTCTTGTTCATGTTACTTTTATGGGGTGTGAACAGCTTCTCCCTATCTCCTCTGTGCAGCCCACTCATGATTCTGAAAATCTCAATCAAATCTCCTCTCAGCCTTCTCTCCAGGGAGAATAGCCCCAACCTCTTCAATCAATCCTCATCACTGATGTTCGTCATCTCTGGTACCATTCTTGTAAACCACCCCTGCATTCTATCCAATTAATTCACATCCTTCCTACAATGTGGTGCCCTGAATTGTACACAGTACTCTAGCTGATCTCTAACAAGTGTCTTATTTAAGTTCAACATCACCTCCTTGCCCTTATATTCTATGCCCCTATTAATAGAGATGAGGAGACTGTATGTTCTTGTACCTGGAACCATTCTAGTAAATCAGTTCTATGCTCTCTGCCTTCTATAATGTGCCACCCACAACTGGACACAATACACCAGCTGACCAAAAACTGCAGCAAAGGAGTTGTCTTTGCAGGGAGCTAGCACAGACTGGGAAGGCTGAATGGTTTCTTTGGGGCCATCTTTCTCTAACTCTTCTACAAACAAGTTGTTTTGGTGAATTTTGAAACTATTTAAAGAAGTATCACAGTTCTGAAGAAGAGTCACGGGACCCAAAACTTTACCTCTGCTTTCTCTTCACAGGTGGTGAATTTTTCCAGCAATTTGTTTTTGTTTCAGATTTCCAGCATCCGCAGTTTTTTTAAAATCACCTTTTATTGTTCACTTATTGCTGGAGGTTTAAAGGGAACTTTCGAGTTGTGTCTGGAGAGTTTCTAAGGTAACATGAAAACTTGACATGCATCCCATGACATTTATTTCGGATGTGGTCTGAGAACAGAAGAACTGCTGTGCTGCTCGATTTTATAGGAGTAACCAGGGGAAAGGGATTGCTTGGCTGTGAGTATCTTGCGAGGTCTCTCTCTAAAAGAGGGCCAGACAATGCAATACCAGCTGCTGGAGGACTGAGGGAGTGGAAGGGTGGTGGGAAACTTGAACCCTGTGGCATAAGGCATCCCTTCTTCCCTGGACCTCCTCCTCCAGTGCTTCATCCAATACCTTGTGTACTCTCTGCCTTTGTCCCTGAGCCATTCTTGGAACACAATCTTCAGTAGGCATGGATGTGAGGTGCCTATCTACACAGTTCCACAAAAATTAGTCCATAACCAAGTTGCAAGTTTCTGATTTTAGTACCTTCAGACAAAACTAAATTACAGCCATCAGGACTAAAATTGGGATTTTTAACATAGCAATAATGTTATTGAACTAGTTGCAATAGCCTCAGTGTTCTGGAGTAGGAACTTAATCTAACTGCAGCAACTGGGGGACATTTGAATTCAATGAAGTAATTAATCTGGAATGAAATGCTAGTCCCTCCAATAATAATCATGAAACTACTGGATTGTCATAAAAACACAAGGAAGAAACACCACCCTCCCTTGGTATGTGACTCCAGACCCACAGTAATATGGTTAATTGCTCTCTGAAGAAGCCAATCAC